ACCTTGTAGTATTTAAGCATCTATATTGTTAGAAAGGATTGGCTATTAGGATAATTTGTATTCCAAGCCTAATTTCTGAGTGTTTTCTTCTGTTGCTTGTGCAGGAGGAGATTAGAATAATTAGTGTCACAGTATTTGTAAATCTGTTCTTCGAACTTGATGAAGAGGAAGAGGAAGAGAAGAGCAAACGCAAAAAGACTGGTGAGGATGAAGATAATGTTAGTTTTGGACACCCTGGTCATGAGAATTCTGGATTTTAGTTTTTTTTTTTTTTCAATTTATATTTCTTCTTCCAAACTGATCATTTTGGGTTTTTTTCTTTGATTTCCAGGAAAAGGTTGGGTATTGTTATAGCAATCCTGGTACAGGAACAGCAGATTCTGGAGCCATAGGTGGTGGTGGTGTTAGAAAGTACTTAAAAGGCTAGGAATTCTCAAACTGATTCTGGTGCTGTTGATATCAGTCTAACAGCAATTTTTGTAACTAAGAAAAGAAATTCATGACAGGAGAATTTAAAGATATTTCTGCTTCATGATGTTCCTTAATGCAGTGCTATCCTTTTAAATGATACAAAATGTGCTTTGGAGCTTGGAAGCAAGGAATGCTCAAATTTGAATTTGCCATTCAATTCCACTTTGACAAAAACCACTTCAGCAAAAATATGGGCGTGAAAGATTCAATTACAGAATTCAGATTCTTTTTTTCTTCTTGGTAAGAATTTTGTCCAAGCTTGTAGGCATTTTTATAGACAGTGGATATGCTGGTAGAGGTAGTTTAAGTCAGCATAGGTGGTGAAAGGAAGAGGAATGAAAAACCAGCATTATTCCTTTCCATTTGTATTTGATGCTGTGTAAAAGTTGTATGAAATATAGATTAGAAAATTTTTCTGGTTCTTACAAGGTTCTTCCAACATAACATTCTCTTTCCTGTTATTCAATTATAAGAAACAGATTTTGTCCAAATGATTCTCTTTCTTTGAACTGTGATTCCCATGAAATTGCATGTTTTTGCCACTGTTCTCTGGTTTCTTTTCTATCCTTTAGCACTTGTTGCTTCCTGACCAGTTTCTTTCAAAATGCTGGTTTGGACCCAAGATTTGTTGCCTGTTTTTAATCATGTATGTGAAATGCTAGTATTCACTGCTCTAGCATTTGTTGGGATGTCCCTTGTGTATAGCCTGTTATAAACAGCACAGTTTGACTTGCATTCATAAAATTGCCCATGCAATTGGGTTACAAGCAATAGAGGCTCCTTCAATGCTTATTCTCACAAAACAGAAGTGGGTAGCTTTTGACACATGGCATACCTGCCACATGCAGGCGAAGCGCTTTTGACTGGATCTGTGTAGGTTCAGATGTCAGGTAAGCATGACTAACTTTTAGCATTTGTCCATGTATATGTGCATTTTTTTGGCCATTATGTACGTGTATGTTAGTATTTGCATATATAGGAGTTTTCCTTGAGAACATGATTGAATTTTCCGTACTGCTGCAATTTTCATATTACCATATTTTCTGTACTACAGAATGATGGTATTTGAACTTATGGAATGAGTAGAGACCTTTGTTGGACTCCACATTGACAGGTTAGCATTGAAGTTCTTTTGTATCTTTTATTTCGCAAAGGTCATACCATGCTTACTACATGCATGATTTGAATCCTTTTACTTGAAACACACAATTGATAGACAAGTATGCTGTAAACTCAAGGTCCTGCCCTAGTTATCCCTCAAAGCCATAAAGCATATTCCTACTGTGGAGTCCAGAGTTGTGACCATTGAACCATGCAATGATTAAATGTTGCTATTATTGGTCTTGCAATCAGTTTCGTTAAGCTTATTTTCAATGTTAAAATTGTGAGTCCATAAGCCATTGATTAGCCACATCCTCCACATCTAAGCCATTTCCTGTTTTCTCAAGTCGGACTGGCACAGCAGGGATTATGGTGCTAAGTTAGCGTTTCTAGTAAATTGGACATGGTGCTGCTATGGTACTGTAAACCACTATAGCAAAGACTGGAAAATAGATCATCATAAAATCTAGCTCTGAGGTTTGCCATTGAAAAAGGAAAAAAGAAGATCCCGGCCTAAGTCTATTCGACATTCATTTTATCTGACACCTTACCATTGCATTTCCAAACTTCTTATGTTTTCTCCATTTTGCTATCCACTCAAAAATCTTTGCTCACTGCTCTGAATCAAGAACAAGAGAAGATAACATGATTATATGTCAGCTGGATAAAAGACAGCACACAATTGGTGACCCACCAGCTGTAGAATTCTTGACAAAACAGGTCAGTTTGATCATTCAGGAGTAGAGGTTTTTGGATGTTTCCAGCTAACGTTATCTTCACCATATTAGTGATGGCTGTGCAAAGCAAAAACACTTTTGAGAATGAATGGCTTTTCTAACTCGCAGAGCAGGTAGAAATAGCCATTATGGACCACACCTATTTGGTGATATTGCTAGCATATGTTGATTTCTAACTTAAAATGTTATTCTTGACGTTTGTCTAACTAGAACTTGGTGAGCATGATTCAGAGCTTTTTTGGACTAAATATTCAGTTTTTTACTGGAAAACTTCTTCATAGGAAATGATTGTCAACATTCGGTGAAAGCTGGAATCAATCAAAGCTGTTAAGTATAGTGGTTTTTAAACAGATCATACCTCTAAGGGAAAAATCTCCCCAGCTCTCTTTAATTATCTTCAATTGTAGGTTAGTTGGTCAACCTTTTTAATTTTGGATTTTAGCAGACTTCCTTTCTTAGTAATTTGTCTATTTTTAACTCAAAACTTGTATCTTAAATTGTGAAAAGAGATTTTAATCAGGATTGTTATTATTTTATGCATTGATGACATAAAAAAACTTGAGTCTTTTTTTATCATATTATTTTAAATGGTATGTGTCATCTCTAATAATCTGAATGTGATAATTTTTCATAAAATATTATTTAATTAATTAAAAATCATATTTAATGTTTTATTAATAATGAATCATGTGTTATGTGGAAATAATCCCCAACTTGTTTATATATATTCTGTTAGCTTGCACATGTAACATCCTTGTCAAAACTGATTTGTTCTTTCTCCTCTTTTAATGGATTATTTTCTTGACTTCCTTTTTCAGTTTTCTGATGAACAATGAAGATGTCAATTCAGAATTCATCTTTCAAGCTGTCTTCAATTGTAACTAACTTGAGTAGTCTTCAGAAGGTGAAGACTGGTGCTTTTTGCTTTAAAGCTGATTTCAACTACTTTAAAGAGGTAGACATTAGAAAACCCTATGCTCTTTTTTTTTTTTTTTAAATTTTTCAACTGTCCTTCAAGTTTAACACTTGCTAATTTTTTCCTATATTGATTTTATATCTTATTTCTCATTAGATTGTGGAAAAAATTTCTTGAACAAGCTCTTTTTTTTTTTTTTTAATGATATATAATTATTAGTATGAGTAAAATTAATTCTAATATTTCATATAAAAATTAATAAATTAAATTAAACAAATAAATCAATCAACTAATTAAATATATAATTGGATGAATTTAACGTATATAAAATTGAACAAATTTCACAAAAAAAGATTTGAACATGAAATTTCAAGATTTCATGACATCTTTCTTTAGTTATAAAGAATGGGTGAACAAACTCTTAATTAATAATCCAATAGGTAGGGCCTCCTAAACATCATCAAACAGAGAAAAATAACAGTAATTGAATTCAAAGAGATTAGTTGCAAAAGAGAAGTAAGGGAAAGGGAGAGGTGGGAGTGGAGGGTCTAATTGCAATTACAGCTTTGTGACTAATGGCTTAATGGTGTCATGCCATGTCAGGCAAAATCCACCCCCATCTACATCTATTTGCAGGTCCACTAAAGTTTTCTTTGGGTACATACACTTTTTCTGATATAGCTCAGCATTATGGTGGGGTTAATGTTTGTACAAAACCATGAGGAAAGCATGTTTCGATGAAAAAAACAAAAAGAGTTGATTGTGTCGATGAAGCCTTGACTTAGTTATCGGAATAAGGCTTTAAAATTTTATAATTTTAAGTTCAAATTTTATTATGTGTTAATTTGGTTGTTTAGTTATGTTATAATTTATTAATTAATTTTAATATAATAGTGGATTATTTAATTAATTATATGAATGTAATAATTAAGTGTAATTTAAAAAAAATTGATTGGGAAACTCATAAGCATGTCTTTCTGTGGTCACGATTACTTTTTTTTTTTTTCTCAAATCTTAAATTCTTCTTTTATTATTTTGCTTTTGACCTTATAATTCAACAAAAACTCTGTCAAGGTGAGGGAACAAAAATTCTATCAAAAACAAAGAAAATAAGAGAGGGATAAATTAAGATTTTGGAGTCAAACAATCTATCATCTTCTTTTAAGGGATTTGAGTGGTAGAAAATAGGATATGCAATACCCGAACAACTTTTTTTGGCCAGAATTTATTCAATGGTTGATATATAATTTTTTTAAAAGTAAGGTTTGTATTTAAAATAGATATTTATTAATAAATTAATAACAAAAAAAAGAGAACAAAAAAGGTAAAAACTAGACTATTCCAAAACAGGTCCTGAAGAATTAATAAGTTGGCATTACATACCCAATCAATCCAAAGCAAAATTTAAGTTTTTGACTTGATAATTCTAAGTATTACTCATTCAAGAATGAAATTATACAAATTTAGATTCGAATCTATAGGACCTAAGCTCTCGGGTTCGAAGGATTTGAGAAAGAAAAGGTGTTACTTTTCAGTTATATAATTTAGCCATTAAACAATAAACTAAATCAAGCAGAAAAAGATGTTAAAATCAACAAGTTGCCATCACCTAAAGCAAATTTTCTATTATGGTTGAGGTAGTGTGACATTTCATCCACATTTCTGTTATAATAATCCTGAAAGCAAAAATTATTTGAACAAAATGTGGACCCCACAAATCCATCAAACATCACCTAGTTTAAGCTTTCAAAGTCATTGTCTTTTGTGTCCTAGTACACTCATATATATATATATATAATATTTTGATTTTAAATGGAGTAATTAAATCCTTTGTAGCTTTGGCAATGGGGCTGGAAACTTGGAACATTGCAGCTGGAGCAATATACTTTAATTTCTCGGGAATTGAGTTTCCAAAACTACTCTTCTTTTTCCCTGCATATAAAATCCATGACTGTTTAGTACATTTCTGGATTGGTGGGTAAGAAAAATATGTGCACTCTGCTTTTGTCTGCGAGCATCCTCTTAACTAGGGACAAAGTGTCCGAGCCAGGAATTGTCCTAATGATTGTTGAAGAAAATCGAGGACAAAGAACAATCCATAAGAATATAATCTCTACGTACAGCAAAATAAATGTATAGCTAGGCCAGCCACCTTGACATTTGAGAAAAAATAGAGTTCTAATCTAACCTGAGCTTAGTATATACTAGCATTTTGCTGTCTCCTAAAAACCAAAGTTGAGTACAAACCAGGAACCCTCCAACCCAAAACATAACATAATCTCTCAAGTTTCAAACATTGATTCAAGGGAGAGAATGTGAATGTTAAGGCTAAGACTAGAGCCAAGTGCCAACCAAACAAGTGCCAACCAGACAAGAAGGTGAGGACAATAGGGGAAGCAACTTGGCCAGGAAGAAAACTTAGAAGAGTTTGGTCAAGTGAATTGCAAGATTTTGGGGGCAGTTACATGGAAGAGAGGGGTATGTACGGGATTCGGTTTTGGTCATCTAGCTAGAGTTTTAGTATGTGAAGTGATTAGTGTTTGTGATTTATAAACTATTTGATGATAGGGGAGTGTGGGGAGAAAAAAGGGAGGAAAGCATGCTGCATGCCCTAGGGAAGGGTACATTTTGGCAATAGAATAGAGTAAATATTATATGTCAAATTGATGTATGGGATAATGTAATAGTATAGAAAAGGAAAAAGTAACAGGAATTTTGGCAGAGTTTGGAGAGGGATTAGGAGGCAAGGAATGTGAATGGCTTGTGCTTGGGTTTTGGTGGGTTTGATGATGGTGATGCACGCCGGCAGCTTTACTCTTCCAGCTCTCTCTAACCCAATTGTCACGCCTGCTCCCACTAAAACGTATTCTAACATTTTCCTCCCTCCCTTTCTCTCTCTCTCTCGAATGAAAAGCTATCCCACTAAACCCATTTGTTGATATCGACCTTATCTTTTTCTCAATCTCTTTCATCTTTTGTCAGACAAATTCTATTCCTATAAACACCAGCTAGCTACTCCATACCACCTTCCAGGTTTTAACAGAAAGCCCCATATTAGTCAATTCCCTAAAAGTATAAACTACAAGAAAAAAACCTCCGGCCTCTAACCCCACCTCCAATTTTCTCATTGATTACACAAAAAGAAGGCCATTTTTTACTCACATTTCGATTCCCATTCCCTTTCTTTCTTTTTCTTTTTTTCCCTTCTAATTGTGCTTAAAAAACCCAATTAGAAAAATCAAGATTTAAGGTCCCGTCGTTTAATCATTTCTCTATATCCCAATATTCTTGTACTGTTAAAAACAGAAACTCACCCATCTCTTCCAACACCTCCCCCAACACCCCCCCAACAGCCTCAATCCAAAGTTTATTGATGTGGGTCTCTTGTTACTTGGTATTAGATGGATACCTTATTTAGACTTGTGAGTCTCCAATCATCCGATCAATCTTTCAACTCTAGCAGAACTTCTAGCAGCTCTAGATCCTCTAGACAAAACCATCACTACCAACAACAAGACGAAGAATGCTTCAACTTTTTCATGGATGAAGACGACTTCTCTTCGTCTTCTTCTAAACACTACTATCCTTATCATCATCAACAACAGCAACAATACCAACCCCACCCTTCCATCACCACCACAACTCCCACAACCACCACTACAAACACTTCTACCCCCACCACTCACCATGCTTTTGAGACTTCTGACTTCTCTTCTTTCTCCCCTGCTCGTGACCTAAACTTCGATTTCTCAGGAAAGTGGGCTACCGATACTCTCCTGGAAACAGCAACCGCTATTGCTGATCGAAACAGTGGCCGCGTCCAACAACTCATGTGGATGCTCAACGAGCTTAGCTCACCCTACGGTGACACCGACCAAAAACTCGGTTCTTATTTTCTTCAAGCCTTGTTTAGCCGCATGACTGACTCTGGTGAGCGTTGTTATCGAACGTTAGCCTCAGTATCTGAGAAAACCTCTTCTTTTGAGTCAACAAGGAAGATGGTATTAAAGTTTCAAGAGGTAAGTCCTTGGACTACTTTTGGTCACGTTGCTTCTAATGGTGCAATCATGGAAGCTTTCGAAGGTGAAAGCAAATTACATATAATTGATATCAGCAACACTTATTGCACCCAATGGCCTACTTTGCTTGAAGCCCTAGCTACCCGTACCGATGAAACCCCACATTTAAGGTTAACCACTATCGTTGCTAGCAAAAACGGTGGCGTTTCGGGTGCATCAGGAGCTGTAGAAGGCTTAGGTGCAGTTCAAAAGGTAATGAAAGAAATAGGAAACAGAATGGAAAAGTTTGCTAGGCTTATGGGAGTTCCTTTTAAATTCAATATAATACACCATGCTGGCGATTTATGTAACATAGATTTATCAGAACTTGATATCAAAGAGGATGAAGCCTTAGCCATCAACTGTGTTGGCACATTACATTCGATTAGAGCCGTTGATAATCGTAGAGATATCATGATATCGAATTTCAGGAGATTGCAGCCAAGGATTATAACAGTCGTCGAAGAAGAAGCCGATCTTGACATTGGGGTTGATGGACTGGAGTTCGTTAAAGGTTTCCAAGAATGTTTAAGGTGGTTTAGGGTTTACTTTGAAGCCTTGGATGAGAGTTTTGCGAGAACAAGCAATGAAAGGTTGATGCTGGAACGAGCAGCTGGTCGAGCCATAGTTGATTTGGTGGCTTGTCCGCCCTCCGAGTCCATCGAGAGGCGCGAGTCAGCCACCCGCTGGTCCAGACGGTTCCACGCAAGTGGGTTTAACCCTGCTGTTTTGAGTGATGAAGTCAGTGATGATGTACGCGCTTTGTTGAGAAGGTACAAGGAAGGCTGGTCAATGGCACAGTGTCCTGACGCTGGTATATTCTTGTCTTGGAAAGATCAGCCGGTGGTTTGGGCCAGTGCATGGCGGCCTTGACGACGGGACTGATTCACACGTGTGTTATGTTTTTCTCGCACGTGTAATGGGGATTGGTATTATATATGGGGTTGGTTAAACTAATTTGTGCTTTTGGAGGAGAAAAAAGGGGATTGAAAGAATGGGGAGTGCCACGAATTTGCTCTTGATTTGATAGGATTGGAAGCAAATTGGTTTTCACTAATTATAATTAATCTTCCTTTTTAGTTTTTACCACTTTGTGACTATTTTTGATTGTATGAAAAAAAGGGTTATGGGTTTTTGACAATCATCAAATTCATAGGTTTAATTTGCTTCATTTACTTAAACAAATTAGCAACAAACAAACAAAATTGCATCCATATGTATATTGAGAACGACCAACGAAAATTGATATAGGATCGATGGGTAAATGGGATATGTGAATTTTCCCACTCATTTTATTTTCAAACAATCGAAACTTAAGTACGCTAACTTAGTAAAGGTTTAGATTTCATCGCACTTCTAGTGTGGTTCAGTTAAACTCAAATAATCGCTAATTGAATATAAATATTAATTCTAGTAAGGTCCATTTAGCATAAATTTTTTTATAATTTTTTTTTCAATTACAATTATAGTAATTTCTTTCAATTGCAATTAAAATAATTTTTATTATTATTTTCAATTTGACTAGAACTAATTTCATTATCCATTTAAATGGACCCTTAATTTGACCCGTGAACAACTTATTGAAATTGTCCCAAGTTGACTTGATACACAATTAAAACAAAAGAACAAAGTTTCTTGTTTTAAACACAAGGTTGGTGTTGGACTAAACAAATAATTAGCAATGCTAAGTAACTTTTAAACCATTGTTAATAAGTCCAAAACTAAAATGGTGTTGGTTTTGATGTAAAAGGGCAAATCAGCTTAGGGAAATTAATTATTTTGATAACAAAAAAAGTTTTAAATTTCAAATTATCCATCTAAAATTTGATTTAAATTCATGGTGATTAAATTAAAAAAAATTATCACCTCATCCATATTGTTTTATTTATTAAATTCTTAAAGATTCAATCAAGAATTCCTCTCCTCACAAAAAAATAATAGGTCATTATCTACTGTGGGGGCCTTAGAATTTTAGGACGGCCATTGGTTTAGGGTGGTTGGTTTCAATTGTGGGGAATCTTATAAAACAAAAAGGGTGTTTAGTCATAAGTGGCATAGATGGGGCTTAGTGGCTAGCATGTTTTGTGTTGATATTGTCTTAGGTATTCTTTTAATTTTTTTCTCTTCTTATAATGTAAATGAAAATTTTGTCCCTTCTTTGTCCTTGGATTGTCTCTCAGGGTGTACCAAGGTAAGTTCAGCGATAAAGTTTGCCAGCACTTGTAATTTTAAGGCTGACTTGGATGATATATGTAGGTAAAACTCATTGAACTCTATAGCCCATTTAATTACCTTTTTCGACATTTCAAGCTTTTGTAAGATCTATCTCAATGGCTAGTCAGTAAGTATGTGAATTATGTGGATTTGGAAATATGGCGTGAGTTTCCTGGTCGAGGTGACAATGGCATAAGCTAGCTTTTTTATGTCTCCATAGTTAGTCTTAGTCTTACCTTTCATTATTGTGACATAACTCTGCCGTATCATGGAGTGATTTTCCCGAACCTCTCCACCCCTACCAAGTGTTGAGAATTTCACTTTCAAATAGAGAGTTAAACTTATAACCCGTATAACAGATTGGTTAGATCGATCCAATATCATGTTATAAGCTGATAGGACGTTTACAACCATAAATTCTATAATCGAGGTAATATTATTTGGTTCAGTCCCCAAAGAGATCGAAAGCTTGATGATTCTTTTTATTGATACCTGCTCGTTCTCAAACCCCACAAGTGTTGTAGTGATCAGTTTCAATTAATCTTCACAAATTTTCATTTTTCTTATGCAACTGTAGCACATGACATCGAATGAATTCCCATTATCAAATAGGATTCTTTCGACTACATAGTTATACACTAAGGTTGTGATTATTATAACATCATTATATAGGTGTTAAATTCTTTTAAAATCTTTCGAGCTAAATGAGATCAGCTTATCTTTTTAATCTTTTTTCTTTTTTGTTGAGGTGCTTACCGTTATAACTATGTCTGGGTTAAATTTCCTCTTGGCTGAAGTGGAGTTACTCCCAGTGATCACATTAATCACCCTGGTTATTGGTTTATTATTATCAGTTCGGACCTCTTCTTGAATCAACTCGTTTCTTTAAGTTTCCTTTCTTACATGTTTATAGGTAAGCTGTAGGGGACCGTCAAGAAACAATAAAGATAGTGTCGAGCTGATGTGGCACTAAACATATTAGATTGATTCGACATGTCAGGTCGACACAAATAATAAAAATATTCTTGATTGTTTGTTGAAAATTTCTAAAAAAAAAAAAGATCACTATATTCTTTTGACCATTAAATACGTTTAATAGAAACTAATCTCACCATCCATATAAATAGACTCATGAATGGCCTATTGAAATTGTCTCAAGTCGAATTGATACACGATTAAGACAAAAGAAACAATTTTGTTATTTTAAACACAAAGTTGGTGTTGGACTGAACAAATAATTAGCAATACTAAGTAATTTTTAAACTATTGTTAAGAAAAATAGCGTTTTACCGAGATTTTTGGTAGCAATCAAATTTCCTTCCTAAGTGTCAACAATTGTTATGGTATTTTGCGTTTTTTAACATATATAAGTCCAAAACTAAATGGGTTGGTATTTGATGTAAAAGGGCAGTATCAACTTAGCAGAATTAATTATTTTGATAACAAAAAAGTTTTAAATTTCAAATTATTCATCTAAAATTTCATTTAAATTCATGGTGATTAAATTTAAAAAAATGATAACCTTATCATATTGTTTTATTTATTAAATTCTTAAAGATTCAATAAAAAATTTCTTTCTTCACAAAAAATAATAGGTCACTATCGTGTGGGGACCTTAGAATCTTAGGACGGCCATTGATTTAATGGGTTGGGTTTAATCGTGGAGAATCTTGTAAAATAAAAAGCTATTTAGTCATAAGTGGCATTGACGGGGCTTAGTGGCCAGCATGCCTTGTGTTGATATCGTATAAGGTATTCTCTTTTTTTATCTCCTCTTATAAATGTAAATTAAATTTTTTTTTTCTCTTTTTAGCTTTTGATTTTAGAAAGGGAAGCCTATGGTTTTGCCCATATAAATTGGGCCCCACCAAAACCTAAAAAATCCTTTCATGGTGGTGTAACAACGTTAACAAGTATTGCTTTTTGGCCCACACAAGAGGAAGGAAAGAGATGAGAAGCATAAATTGTACAGTGGGAACTTCTTTTTAGGGGGTTCACATCTTAATCTTTCGATGATACGTGCCCTCTCTCCAAGTTAATACAGCCACTCCCTTCTCATTTCATCTTAACTTAAAATTATTATTTTTATTTTGGTAATACCTTTTTAAATATCTTTTTCCCTACTTTCTTTAGCTTTTAAAGTCAAAAATAATATTTTCTATGCAGCTTTTTACGTGTATTCTCGTCAAGACATGTTTTTTTTTTTTTTAATAAAAGTGAGTCGGTCTTGTTGTTTTCTGAGTTTTATAAGTGTAAATTATAAAGTCATACATAATATCAAATAACATGACTTCAAAACATGCAATAAAATGTATTTTTAAAAAAAATTATTTTACCTTCATTAATCATGATATGTAAAAAGATGAATCGAAAGGTTATAGAATAAAATAAAACTCTTGTTTTGATTTTATTTTACACTAATAAAACCAAATCATTAAATATTTTTAATAAAACACAAAATCATTATCTGTTAAAATGATTTTTATTTCCCTATTTATAAAAAACTTAATCAAGAGTCATAATTCTTCAATTGTAATGATTTGTTATACTAATTTATATATACAAGGAAAAAAATTTCCTTAAAGTTTAAACTCATTTGAAATGAAACTAGTCTTACATAACCAAAGCTTCTTTTAAAAATATTCCGATGGGTCAATGCTTCTTTTAGCTTAAGCTTTGAATTTGCTATATGTCAATGGCAAATGACCAGCCAGCTACTGTCTCTCGAGAGTCAATGTTATGTTGATGGGGGCCAAAGTTAAAGTTGGAAACAAATTTTCAAAAAAGATTAATGAACAAATTTTGTAAACATGTTTCATTTTGATGGACAGCGAAAAAGAATTCTCATTGCATCCACAGGTGTTGTTTAGCCACTAACCCTTAGGGGTCCAGTATTTTTTAAACCGTCCATAAAAAATAAATTCTGACTTTGGATGCTTCGATGACGCGAAAATCTCTTCTTCTAGTCGTCCTTTTAACTAATTCTTGGAATTATCTACGCTTTTCTTTAGCCTAGTTTTTTTTTTTTTTTTTTGTTAAGAGGAGGGCATAGCCCTTTAAAGAGGGAAAGAGAAGGAGATTTTGTCTGAAAAGTTTTCTTATCATGCTCGAGTATTTAGCTAAAACATTTTTTTAGTACCTAATTCAGTCATACTAAAATTGGTTTTAAGACTAAAGTTTTGAGTTTTAAATTTCTATAATTGCTCAAAAAAAAAATTCTTTTTAATATAAGTTTATTTAAAGAATTTTGTATTTTTTTATTAGTATTATTTTATTTGATAAAAATGATTTTAAGTTATGTTTGATGTATAAGATAATTGATAGAATAATATGATAATCATTTTAGATTATTATGTTTGATTTGTATTTAATTGAAAGGGATAAAATTATAAAAAAAATTATCATTCTCTTGGTATAAGATGATTCAATCATTTAAAAGTGAAGAGGATTATTTTTAATTTATAATATTAAATTTACATATTTTATTATACTATTAAAAATTATATCAATAATTTAAATTGTATAAACTTTAAAAAAAATAATTTTAATCAATAAATAAATTATCATATTTTAATCCTTATACATATTAAATATAAAATAAAATAATATTATTTAATTAAATCTCATTTATAATATTATTTTATATAATTTTATTATTAAGTTTTAAGTTTTTAAATTTTTGGGACAATGACGGGAAGGGAAGGCCCTCAAGCTTTGGAGAGTAGGGGACCGAACTTTTTTTTTTTTTTTTACTTGAGACAACATTGTCATTGTAAATTATGGTCCCAAATCACTATCAAAGTCTCCAACATTTTCTCCTCCTTTTTTTTTTTGGAGCAAACAAATGAAAACCGCAAAATAACTTCTAGCTCCATTTCTATGACAAAAGGCCATGAAATAAGAAACTGTGAGGGAATTAGCAAGGACATAAATCACAAGTCTCAACCAACAGTAATATCCCCTGTGCTAATATTAACATTACCCACGGACAGATGTAAGTTCACGGGCAGTGCAAGAGAATGAACATGTACACCAATTTATTGGGGTGTGTGAGCTCGGATTAGGCTTTGCAAATCACAGAGATCACTATGCAAACCAGTGAAAGAATAGGTGAAGAGCCTTGATATGCAATACGCTCCAAACCATAAATTTGGAAAGAAAAATGAGCCAGTCATTTCGAATGTCTCCAACTCAAAGGGAAATCTCCACTTCGGATGCCAATATATTAACGCCCTCGGCCATAGTGGAATCAGAGGTTGAGTTGGAAATCAGAAGTTGGACTCAAGAGGCCTATCAGCAGGGCCACCAATTACTAAAGGTAACCGTACAAATCTTGAGTCCGTTAACTCAGCTGGATTCCACGATCTGCCATAAAAATATACGAACCTGGAATCACTGGCTGCATGGGTTTTCCATTGTCTCCCATGGAGCCATGATGGACTCAGCTGCATGGCTTAGTGCTTCATTAGGTGCCCATCCAGTGCAACCAGATGTGATTATGTAAAAAGTGCATTAGTACTTGAAAAGAGCCAGAGATTACAAAGTGACCAAACAATTAATACAGCGAAAACTTATTAGAACTAAAGAGTAAGATGTGCAATCAAATGTCAAGGCTGAAAGGCTGAAATAGGTGCTAAAAATGAGGATAATATAGTGAAGGTACAATGAAGGCCTGATGTCTTACATGTCAAACATTTTATTGGAAAGCATCTACACATGCTAAACTCGAAAATATAGGTGCCAAAGGTAATCTTCTATGCATTCACGTGAGCAAAGCTAAAAGTGGGCAGAGATTCTACCGGGAATGAATCCTAATTATGCAGCATTTATCTTCCTTCGTCAGTCCCTTCGGTTGAACAACCAATTGAAAGATGAAATGGCTTAAAGATTTTCAATTTGCAATCACAATTGTCTGCTTAATCCAAAAATATAAGAAGTAAGAAGAAATCCTGCAGTGGAACTACGTCAATAAATACAACGTCGATTACAAAGAAATGCTTCTCTTTCACTGCATCAAAACCATTATTTATATCTACTTATGACTCAATCCCTCCTGGGAACTTCACAGAATATAGTATGGCATTTTTTCTCAGTCAAAACTGAATTTTATTAATAGAACAGTCTTAATAGACTGATATAGCAATACAGGGTCCAAATAGCAAAACAGTACGGACTCGAAACAGCAGTTCAATAATACATACTCAAAACAACAGCCGAGTGGCTCTATTACATCCAGGCAACAAATAAATCCTCTCGATTAACTCATATCTTAGCAAGTGAATCAGCAAATGAGTTGGCTTCCCTGAGAGTATGATAGAAATATGCATTGCCAATACTTTCTCTGAGTCTGTCAATCTCATTAAAAATTACCTCATTACACATCCAAAAGATTCAACTATCAACTCATGATTCTTAACCATTGGAGACTTTGAATAAACTTCTAATGCTGTCTTGATAGCCATAAGTTCAGCAACATTAGAATCTCTAATACCAATAGGTCCATAGAATAGTCCTAAAATGATTCCTTCAGCATTTCTACGAACACCCCCACAACCAGCCAATCCTGGTTTCCCTCTGGATTACCACAAGGACTCACCCATGTAATCCCATTTCTTTTCGATTTCACCAGATTTCCACTCATAACTATCCTAGGGATCAGTCCACCAACCAAATTCTTCAACTCCAGGACCACCTTCAATAGCTTTAAACCAAAACATAGCTCTCAGCTTGATAAGAAATATAACCTCCTCCCTATCCCATTTCTTCCCTTCAAAGACCGATTCATTTCTAGCAATCCATAGAGACCACAAAGTAGCTCCACCAACAGTCAACCATCTACCTTTAGTTACTCCAGAGAAAGGAACAAACTCACTCTGTAACACAAGATCATGCACAAAATTCGGGACTACCACACCAGCCCCCACCAATGAAATAGAGCAACATATTTTTCATGACAAATCACAACAGCACAGAATATGAAAACAGCTTTCAATGAACAGCCCACACAATAGACGAAAACACTGATTATCGTCAAAATGTACACCTCTAGCCGCTAGAAAAAATTTAGATGGAATGCAATCCAAAATGGTAGTCCAAACAAAGCACTGAACTTTAGGAGGAACTTTGTATTTCCAGATGGAGACAAACCATTCCTTTGGCACTGATAAAGAGTGCAGAGCAGAGTTAGGTCTTTTAATTGAGAAGCCACCATTTTACTCCACTTCCCACACTAGCCTGTCCTTCATGTTTTCCGAGAGGAACACATCTTGAACCTCCATTAACAACTTCTTTGCTAATTGATTTTCCCATTCCGTCAATTGTCCTCGGAATTGAAGCTGCCACTATCCCCAATCACTTACCAGCTCGGATACTCTACGCACCTAATTGAAGGCTATTGAAAATAAACGAGGGAAACTCTCCTTTAAAGGTTAGTCACCCAGCCATCTATCAAGCCGAAAATAGATTCTTTTCCCATCACCAATCACCAATCTACACCCCTCAAAACCAATCAGTTTATCCATCCCCTCTTCATTTTTCACCTCCACAATATTCCTCCATACTATAGACATTCTCTCCCTATTATTCTCAGCAGGTAGCCAATCTAATATAATATGGCATATAATCTCTCTTGTTTCAGTCACAAAGAAATTATACTCTCAATAACATCTCTTCAAAGGCTGACTTCAGTGGCAACATAAGCAAAACAAATATAAAGACATGACAAAGGAACTTCATTGCTACTAAGGTAAATAGGATAAAATAACAAGTGAACAAGAGCTTCGTCATCAGGCATAAAAGCATTAATATGTAGCCCATCTTTCTTCATAAGATCAAAAACCTTTAGAATTCAGAGATTACACACAAAGCGATTGATAAAGATGACAGCTTCCATTAACTGGTATGTTGCCGATGGGAACGGCATCCTCAGGGCAGTCTTCAGGTACATAGCTGTTGTTAGGTGCTCCGGATAACGGGTCACATATCATCCCAAAGTGGAATAAACCATAATTTTGTTCGTTCAACCCGACTCTTGAATATACCTCAGTTATTTTGAAGTTCACCTACAAGTACGTACATTCACATATAGTATTATACAAATAAAACCATGTAATGTTTCTCGTTTCTGCAATGGAAATACTAATCAATTTATAACCTCGCCTATGAAACAGTGTATAGTGGAGCCAATTCCAGTCAAGATTTTTTCTCAATTTTTGGACTTCATTCTGGGTAATATTGAGTAGAACTGGTAATTTTAAATAAGATGTATCATATAAAAAAGCATAAAAGCAATGTAAAATTTTAATAAAAATCATTTATGAATGTAATAAAAAATTATTTTTATATTTAATGTATCAACAGATACAATAAATTTTATATATATTTAATGTAAAATAAGCAAATTTAAATACAGATACTAATGTTAAATACAGGGATGCTAAAATTGTGCGATCATTGAACGAGCTAAGGCCTTTTTCTCCGGCACACAGAAACGCTTGAGCAAACGCTCAGCCGCCTCAATTCTTCTGTACTACTATCTTCTATGCCGTCACTTTGGATCTTCCATTAGATGCGATTGAGTCCCACTCTCCAATCACCTCCACAAACATGTCCGTGATCCTACCAATCACATTCCTCCGTGAAATGAACTTCCGAAACCGAGATCGTTAAGTGTTCAATCTATTTCTTACTCCTAACTGCTCACTTTTTTGACGGAATCTTTCCTCCCAATTTGTCCAAATTACGACAAACTTGCGGCTTTTTTAACCGAAGCAAAACATCAAATAAAATCGAAACCGTCCATAATTTCCCAAATCACCTACTATCAACGGCTGAGGTTTCCTCAAACATTAATAATTTTTTTCAACTTATCGCCCACCGTAATTGGAAAAATTAGAAGCGAGGAATAGTTGGCCAAAAAAAACAGTGAGGAATTATTTGGTTAAAAAAAAAATAGAAATCAGCAGGCGTGAGGGAGGGAAGGAAAACGACAGAGGAGCCAGGGGCTAAGAGAGATCTCTGGCTTTCCCTTTCTTCCTGTTTTTTTCTTTTTTTTGTTGTTTTAAATTGACTAGAAAAAGGTTTTTTTTTTTTTTTTTTTGCTTGGGGTCTCTGCTTCTCTTTCTTTTTGAATCTCCGAATGGGTTTGTGGGAAGCTTTTCTCAATTGGCTTCGTAGGTAGGAGAATTGTTTTTTTATTTTTCCGTTTCGTTTCCTGCAATGTTACTCTTTTTGAATTTCTGATGGGTTTTCGAGGAAAATATTTGTATTAGATTGAGAGTTATGATTTATATGGAGTTGGGTTTCATTTATTTAAGCTAAATTTTCTTTCTTTATCCTTGACTTTTGTGTTTGAAGAAGTGAATTTTGCAGCTTTTGTTTGACAATGCAGTCAAATTTCTTCAAGGGTTAAGGATATTACATATTGAATGGAATGAATTAATGTATAGTTCACGAACAAGATGGATAACAGAAGATGGGGTTTTGTTTTTTTTTTTTTTTTGAAAAAAAAAAGTTTAAATATCATATTCAAAAAAAATGTTTAAATATCATATTCAATGATACAATGGTTTTAGATTGTTTTATTTCCGCATTTGTGTGGAGTAGATTATGGTAACATCACTCTGCAGATAAGGAAATCTGTGTAAGAAATAGGGCAAAGAGAAGGAAGAGAAGAGTTTAGTTATTCTTGGGGTGAAGGGAGTTGTATGGCATTAGGTTCCAGTTGTCGAAGTTTGATTTCTATGAGGAAATTCAATCTATGTGGCCATTCTAGAGTATTGTTTATGGTAGTCAAGTGCACGTGTCACGAACCTAAAAGGGAATTTTGAATTCCACATCGAACATAATAGGAGAGTCATTGGGATATATAAGGGTTCACACTACCTCCGTTTTGTGAGGCGTCTTTTGTAAGATAAAACCGTGAGACCAGGGGATCAGAGCGGACAATACCTCACAAAGATGTGAACTGTGATAGGAAGGCTGATTTGGACTCCGGAAGGATGAATGCTCGGGTTCCGGAGTCGCGCGAGTTCGAAGCTTAAGTCTTGACTCGTGACAAGTGGTATCAGAGTCAGCCCTAAACCGTTCGATCCACGTCAAGCATCTTGAGGGAGGTAGGCAGGGTGACCCAACCTAAGAAGGAGTCCTGAATCTCACATCAAACATAATAGGAGGATCACTGGGGTATATAAAGGTTCACACCACCTCCGTCTCACAAGGCACTTTTTGTAGGATAAAACTGTGAGGTCAGGGGGCCAAAGTGGACAATACCTCACAAGGGTGTGAATTGTGACGAAGGGTTGATCTGGGATGTCGGAAAGGTGAATGCTCGGGTCCCGAAACCGCGCGAATTCGAAACTTAAGTGTCGACTCGTGACACATACACTAACGTTTAAGATATCATGCCTTTTGAGTCATATCCTATATTGATTAGTTTGAAGGTTGCGAGTTTATCTTTTACTGGCGTGATCAAGCTATTGTTAGTGGCATGATTCGTTAAAGTTTTTTGGGAGAGTGCATAATAAAAAAAATCTTTTCTGTTCCACCTCCACATAGCTTGCAATTCTAGTTTAAGTTGTAAATGCTGTTTTGGGTTCATGTAGCTTAGTGGATGGTTTGTATATCTAGGTTTTATTTTTTGTGATGGGAACCATTTCTTTTTAACCAAACTGGAATTCACATACTTTGCAGTCAGTGATATGATTTATATATAGGTATGTATTTGGAGAATGAATGCTATGACAGTAAAACGTGCTAAATTGTTAAAATTGTGAGCTTTATCCTGTTAGATTGATTTTGTTGCATTATTAATCAATTGTATTCAGTCGGTCACCTATTATTGCAGAGTTTTCAAATCTTTATTTGTTTTACTAAGGCTCTTTCAAGTTAACCTCAGTAGGGTCAACCGTCATGGTACAAGGACTCACTTTTTGTATATGTTTTGCAGCCTGTTTTTCAAGCAGGAAATGGAGCTGTCTTTGATAGGACTCCAGAATGCTGGAAAAACATCATTAGTAAATGTTGTTGCTGTAAGTAAATTAAAACCTCACTTGTAAATGTTGTTGCAGTAGAAAGGGTCCATTAGTATCAATCTAGCATGTGTTTTATTTAACATATTCTGTGGATTGACTTTAAGTTGGCTGGCTGCTTTTTCAGACCGGTGGATATAGTGAAGATATGATCCCCACGGTGAGTCATATCATCTGAGAGGATCTGTATTTGTTCCATCAGTTTTTTTTTTTTTTTTTTTCAAATTGTGAATTTGGATGATATTACATTTCAATGCTTCTATTGTCTTTTTCTTTCTATCATAGAACTAAGGTAATTTATGTCTAATGGCCTATTTTCAGGTTGGATTCAACATGAGGAAAGTGACAAAAGGAAATGTTACAATAAAGTTATGGGATCTTGGAGGTCAACCTAGGTTTCGCAGTATGTGGGAACGATACTGCCGTGCGGTTTCTGCAATTGTGTGAGAAGATACTTCTTTATTTTCAGACTTCTTATTTGAAATAACTTTCTTCTAAATTGCTTTAACAATTTTGGGGGAACAAAAGTTTTCTTTGCTAATTTTTAACCATCTCTAATTTGGTAGTGGGCATTTCAAAACTGGCATTATAAGTATTATCTAAAACTGCATTGCCCTTCATTCCTGTTTTGGTATATGTCTTCAAAAGGCATAGCTCAGGAATTGAAGATATTTAATTCTGTGCATAAATTCTACTTGGTACTTGGAAAGGTTGGCATTTGATGCAAAAAGGTTATATAGCCTAGACGATCTAGAACAAATAACCTAGGCTTTAAGTCCATAGAAAATAAATCTAACAAATAAGGTCCAAAACTTGCAAGAATGTTCTCCATCACTAGATTTAATATATGCAAAAATTGCCGTCTATAACTATTGCAGTAATTGACTAGTCTTCAGTTACTTACCTTTGTACTTCTCAAATTGTGAAACCTGATACTGTTCTTCATTATGTGAATTGCATTTACGACTTTGTATATCCATTAACAAACCATGAGCACGCGTCCAAGGATAAGTATCAACAAGGAACCTCAGGCAATAACACTTAGGATTTCTTACCAGTTTGATAGAGTTGTGTCTCAGGCAATAACACTTTACGAATAGGTTAATGAAGGTTTGCAACTGCTGTATTATTTGTGTATGGGCATATGTTTTTCCTTTTAGAACCTTGGCTACTTTATTTAGTTTTTATGGTAGTGAAACCATGTAAATCCCATAAATTTTTTTGGGTGCATTTGCATTTTATGAATCCTGTTGTGTGTCACACTTGGTTACGATTGGATGTTAAATGATAAGACTGCCTATCAAATTCTTGTAGAGGTTTTGGTAGGTTTACATCTAACCTGATTTTTTTTTTTTTTTTTTCAGTTATGTGGTGGATGCTGCTGATCCTGATAACCTGAGCATCTCAAGAAGTGAGCTTCATGATTTGCTGAGCAAACCCTCACTTAATGGCATCCCTCTTCTGGTGCTAGGAAACAAGATTGACAAGCCAGGAGCTCTGTCAAAACAGGCTTTGACTGAAGAAATGTAAGAGACATTTCACTTAATTCACTCAATTAACAGGACAAAACGGAAATGCCAAAAATGAACTAAAGTGATTCTTCTTTCCTTAAAAGCAAACACCGTTTCATAACATGGAATGTAATGTGCAGGGGACTCAAGTCAATTACTGACAGAGAAGTTTGCTGCTTCATGATATCATGCAAGAACTCAACCAACATTGACTTAGTTATTGATTGGCTTGTAAAGCATTCCAAATCAAAGAGCTGAAGAAAGCCTTTTCTTATTTGCTGAATCTTTGTTTTATAATTCAAGTTTCAGAAGGAACAATTTTTTTTTTTTTTTGCTCTAACTTTTATTTTCTGGTTGTTTAATATTATTTTCCCATCATGTACATCACAGTTTTAATTGAAGTATGATTAATATTTCTCTTGGCATGCTCTTATCAAATGTTCATACAAGGATATGTATGTTCATGTCAATGCTTTGGGTGTTGATGATTGTTTTCTTTGTTCAAGGGATTTACTTACTGATAAGATGTGAAAAGAAAATATTTAGTGATAAAATATGAAGGAATGCTGCTAGTCTAGCTCACAAGCTCCTTCAATGGATTTGAAGGGCAGGCCGTTGTCTACTTTGAGAGATTATAAAGCAAATGAGTCATAGTGAAATGGATTACAGCATGGCTGACCTTTCCCAAGGCAATCATTGATGTCTTGCTCTTCAATTAAAAAGAAAAAGGCATTTCTATTAATTACCATTAAAAAAAAAAGACAAATAGACAAATTTGTCTGTGAATATTTGATAGAATGTTGAACTTTAAGTTGAATAATGAAAAAAATTTAAACCAGGATAATTTTATATTAAAAATAAAAAAAAAATTCTCATTGATCTAATAGCAATTTGAAATTTAGATTTTTAGTTTTCATGTCTCAATTGCCAAATTAATAATTTATTAGTCATTTGTCTATGATCACATAAAACAATTTAAAGTTTTTTTTTTTTAATTTTGTCTTAAATTTAAATTTAAATTTAAATCTAAATATAAATATATATCAACTCTCCCATCTTTGTGAGATAAATAAAACAATAACTTAGGAAAACCAAAGGTATATCAGTAAAACAAGAGCTGCTTCAAATCTAAGCTACGTCGTTTAAAAAGGTTCAGAAACAACTACTAAAATCCCGAAAATGTCCTCACCTAGTTTACCCTTCTAAAACCCTCTTATCCCCGAAAAACCCCAAATCTTAACACAGTAACTCCGCTATTCAAGTCCCAGAAATGTCCTCCATGACTACAAAACTCGCCACCAAATCCCTCCTCAAACTCCTCATCTCTTCCTCACCGAAACCGCCCATTTCTGGATTCTTTTCCACCTTCACTTCCGAGGATAGGACCCAGAAACTCGAGCGCATCGCTGACGAGCTTTTAGACTTAACAAAACTCGAACGCTATGACTACTCCATCCTCTTCCGTCTCAAACTAGGCCTCAACCGCTACGGCCCTGCCGTCTCTGGCGTCACCTCCGCTGCCCCATCAGCACCCGGATCCGGTTCGGTCGCAGCCGAATCGAAAGCCGCAGAAAAGATGGCGTTTGATATAAAGCTGGAGAAATTCGACGTGGCGGCGAAGATAAAGATAATAAAAGAAGTGAGGACATTTACGGAATTGGGGTTAAAGGAAGCTAAAGATTTGGTGGAGAAAGTTCCCGTTGTGGTTAAAAAGGGAGTTACAAAAGAGGAAGCTGAGGCCATTATTAAGAAGCTCCAAGAATTGGGTGCCACTGTGGTACTTGAATGAACATTTTTTTAAGATATTTTTGTTCTGGCATTACCATCGGAATTTGAAAGTGAAAAACTTTGCTGAAATTAATTCAGTCTTCTTGCTGAAAAGATTGGGTTTTTTTTCCTTTAAGAAAATATTTACTGTTCTTTCTGCTCTTTTATGAAATTCTTTGGAGATGTTTGATGCATTTAGCCTTGGGTGTATCAAGTTGATTGGATTAGAGTGGCTACCTAGCTTCTGTGCTATACACTAAGATATGCTATCATCCAAATTTCTTTTGACATTTGCTACCAAGGCTGAAATGCAGCTGCTGCTTTAGAGAATGTTGTGTTTCTTAACTTGTAAGTGTCAGTGCAACTACCTGGGAACTCAAGAGTCAAGAGTTATTGGAATTGGAATGCTGGGACATTTGTTTGTAGCATCTCTATACTCTTTATATTTTGGAGCTTTGTTCTACAGGTTCTCTTTTCTTGGTTTCCTACTGAGAATCTGATATATATATATTGCTAGTTTTCCTTCAAATGAGGAAAGGATTTGTTATTTGGTCACTGAGCATGGAGGACTAATTGCTTCAGTTGGAGTACAGGTTTTTTGCCTTTGAAAGGAGTTATTTTTTTGCTTTTTCATCATCATCCTACATGCATCGGTTAAAATCCGTGTCCATTGTGAGCTAAAATTAAGTAGCAGTGGAGCCACCTTGGAGAGTTTGCAAAGACTAAGCTATTTCTATGATGCTTTGGACTAATCAAAGGTAATATGCCAAAATTTTGCAGACCTGGTAATGGATAGTCAAACCTTGTGTGATGCTCATTGCAGCTAATTCATTTAATGTTTAACAGATGTTCTAAAGATGATTACTTGAAGCTTTGGCCATGTTTGTTGGAGATATGGATTCTGGTCTCCACAAAATATTTCTGCAAGTCCTGTGACAGTGAGTTAACATATGGTTTTAGGTAAAATCTTATGCTAGATTGTTCTGAGCAAAGCTAGGATGAAATGTTGTGCCTCATTGTTGCTGTGTTTAATTAGTCAGTACCCTCCCTAAAAACCATGGAATAAGTAATTAGTTATTATCCAATGAATAAGTAAATAGTCATTATCCAATCTAGTTTCTACTTGTTATGCTATGTAGTTTTGGCATGTTTTAAGGCAGAATAAAACGTGATGAGGCTTTTGGTTTGAAAATTTTGAAGTCAACCCATCTTGCTGGTCAAGTATATTTTATTAGATGGGCAGCTTGATGAATCCGCACTGAAAGAAATTGGAATGATACGTTTTTTTTTTTTGCCTGCCAATTTATGGTGTGAAAACATTGTTATTTCTATATAGCTAACCAGGGCGAAAGGGCTTCATAGTATTGTAATTTTTTGCATACCATTCCATGGAAATTGATTAAAAGTATAGGTGATAGGAGTTGAGCTCCTTCTATTCCTAATCCAATTAAAAGCATGTACCACAAACTTCACAGATAGCTATATAATCATGCAATTTTTGTGCAAAATTGTAGTTGAAATTGTATTTGGATTGACTTTCGAAAAGACAGACCATATCTCAAGCGTGCCATCCTAAATACTTATCTTTCTTTTGCTATATCTGTACCCTTTACTTCAATTACTTCATGATAAAGCCATAGAATTTCAAAAATCTCTAAGCTCCTCGTCAAATGTTCGCTCAAAAGAAGCAGAACTTGGTGGATTAATCTCGCATTTTCTTCTTTACAAGCCTAATATAGTTACAGTTATAGACATGGTCACCGCTGATATATGAGGCCAGCATTATTCCAGTCTGATGCATGGTTCCAGCATCGATTTAAGGCCAAATGGTAGGTATCCATTTATGTCATCTGCACAAATTTCCAACTGACATCAAGAAGTAAGCAACAAAAACAAACACATGATAGGGGTAAAATCTTGCAAACCATAAGATGCTACAATATAGTACTCTTTTATTTAAGCTCGAATACAACATTCACAAAAGAAAGAATAAAAATGATGGATGTAAAAAATATCCAGAAGTCCCATGTCACTATCACCTGGATATACTTGACAAGTAATAATAAATTGTTGTTTCATAAAACATGAAAGCTATGGATGTCAAAAATATGTGGCCACTCCATGTCACTACTTCTGGGATATACTTGGTGTCAAAATCAACAGGAAAAGAGAAGCTTCTATGAGGAGGAAAAGAATAATGATATTAAGAGAAAGTAACCGCCTGATTTGCAATGGGATTTCTATGAAACTATCCAACCACTGAGTTCAAAGAAGTCCGAGGATACTCTACACTCTACAGATAAGAACAGCTATCCTTCCTAAATCTTAGTTACAGAAACTTCTCAACCGTGTAGAAAAAAGGTTGAAATAGGCTCACTGAAATAAGAGAAATAAATTTTGTTGAACTGATGTCAAGTTGCAATGAAGCTTTGTTGATTGGCAGAGCCGCAGGGGGTAAATATCATGACTATGACTAGGTGTACTCTTGATTAAGATCCTCTTAAGCAACCGACACGAGCTTCCTCTGAGAAAACCTGTGTTTTTAGATCTACGAACATTGTTCGATAAGAAGAATATCTAAGAAAAACTGATTAAAGAGGATTTACCAGGTATCTAGCATCTGAGACTTCAATGCTTTCTCTACTGCTTTAGCGAAAATTTTTGCTGCTTCTGCTTCAGCTTCGGCTGTGTCAGCCTCTCTTGCTGCCTTTTCAGCCTCTGCAATTGCAAATTCTGCCTCTGCAACTGCTCGTGCAGCAGCTGCAGCAGCCTCTTCTGCAGCCATGCTCCTCATTTTTGACAACTCTGCATCAACTTGGGTTTTAGTAAGAATGTTGACGCCCTTCTTCTCTGCTTTTGAAGAACCCTTCTGCCTTCCTTCCAAAGGAAGCAGAGGAGATCTTGCTTCAGAAATAGTTGAACGTGGTGCAATCCTGTACTTGTGCTTTGCCTATCAACATATACATCATAAAGATGAATCATTCCCAACTTCGAAACATATTTCCCCCTTTATGAGAAGATAAGCCAATAACTTTCCACAAGCAAAGGAGAAAAACCAACATCAACATTTCACGCAATTCATGAGGAAGAAAAGTATCATTGTCCAATATTACAAGTGCACGTGTCATATAGTTTACCCTAATATCATTTTCTGGAACATCAATGGCATAAGAGTATCACCTAAGCATTTCTGTCAATGATAAGGACCTTTTCTATAATCATGGAACACTAGTGTTGAATTTAACTTTTCTGTCATGCAAGCTACCTCATAGGCTAAATGATTTATGCACATGAATCATGATGAAGATAATAATATTCTACAGATACTGTTCCACCAATAATCAATGGTATGATTACCTTTATCAATGTCCCATTTGCTACCAACAGCTTTAATTTTGTTGCCAACAGCTTCTTGAGGTTTGGTGGAGCAGCATATTTCTCCTATAATGCAAAGATAAAACAAACTCAAACTAGTTTAGATGTTTTAGGGAAGTCATTCTCAATAGTTTTAGAGCTGCGCTTTAGGTCTAAAGACTTTAAATTGGACAAGAAATAAGAAGAAAAAGAAACCCTAATTTTGGTGTTATATATAACCATTACAAGAGGTAAAAGCCTTCAGCAGTTTAATTAAATAGGTATGTTTCCTTCAAGTATTTAGAATTTGTGACTGATCCCAGAAAGAAAAGTACCTCTATGTATACAGCAATTGAAGCTCTGTCAGAACCACCTGGCTCTTTCAAACTGGTGATAGCCCCTAATAAAATATTATCCAACCTACAAGCATTGAGAGGATATCGCTTAATTAGCAATTAACATACCTGTACAAAATCAGAATACTAGGGCTCTCAACATAAGATTGTTTTGGCCTACAATGACTAGTAGATTGGATAATTTCAGTTAGTTAAAAATAAGTTATCTGCAGCACTGAAGCAATAACAAATATGTGCATTTTCAATAGCCAATTTAAAATGAATCAATCTTCGAAATAAATAACTTTTGCCTTCTGCATCTTTTCATGTTTTAATATCTTGGCACTCATATACCCAAGTTCAACTAAAAGTGACTTCAATATGATATAAGAATATATGTAACAAGTAACCTTGAAATTGGTTTTTTAGGACCAATTGCCCTTGGTGTTCCACTAGAAACTGCAAGGGGCTTAGCATCAACAACTTCTTCCCTTGGAGGTACAGTGACAAGAGCCATGGGGTTATCATCATGTTTAGTGGCCAACTGATTTCTCCTAAGAGCAAGCTTGGCCTTCTGTCTTGACCCCCATATGGCTGTGGCATTTATATTTCTCCATTTATCCTGGCCACATTAGAACTATACACATTAGTTCATCTCAATGCATGACAGAACATTGGCAACCAAAATAAGCACAAAGTGTTGCTTCAATAGTTTAGGATGCAATTAATAAAGGCACTATCAAGACACAGCAATCTCTGGTCATTAAACCAGAAAACCTTAAAATGCTTATTTCAATGATGATTGGTGAATCCTGCTTGAGGCTCAGCTACATACCTTGAGATCCACATTTGAGCGTGATCGCAAGACAGAACTAAACTCGGGATCAGAAAGTATATTGCGCCATTTACCAGTTCCATGCTTAACAACTCCTGCCTTGAGAGCAGCTTCTTCTTCTGCTGTCCATTTCTGTTTAGGGGCACCCATCAACAAATCCCTGAAACCCCCACTAGAAGAGAATATAAACAATTGAAATTCAAAAAGTTCAAACACTAATACTAATCAATCCTATTATATGCCTACGCACCTATGCATCAAGTTTAGACAACCAACAAAAAGCTTAGTAATTGACCAACAAATAGGTGCTGAAAATGCATGTAACCTTTTGAAAGGCATAATCGCATTAACACAACGACTAGACATTCACAGACAGATCTTTTCGTGACATTTTCCAATAAATTGATCTGAGGCTCCAATTCTCATCCATTATGAATTTCCAGTAGCGCAAAATTGAAAACTTAAAAAAAAAAGCCAAAATAATGAAAAATCAGAAATAAAAACAGAAAATATCCTTAATGCGATTAAGTTTCAGAAATTTAGACATAGCGTTACAAACCCAAACTTGTTCTTAAGCATAAAACTCAAACTTTCAACTTATCTTGACTCAAATAATACATAAATTTACACTCAATCCATCACCACAGGTAATCACAGCTATGAAATGTAATTGTAATTATATATCTTTAATTTCCTCTTAAACTACAATCAAAATTATATTCTGAAAATAACAATGATGAAGCAAAAAGAAATCAGATTAAAGCATTTTCATCCAAAGCTTAGACTTTGATGAAATTTATCAAGAATCGATTCATCTAGAAAATTCCAAAGAAAAAACTTCGCATTAAGTGCTGAATTTTAAAAATCATGAATGAATTTTTTGGGAGGAAATTGAGGATTTAAAATGGAATACCTGATCGGAGAAACGCGCGAAGGGAGGAAGAGAATTCACGCGCGGAACATCGAATTTTTGTCGGGAAATTAGTATTTCTTACAAAACAGAGGATTGAAAAAATACATATAATAGGAGATTGGCTTTTTTGTCCATAAGAATAATAAAATAGAAATTTGGAAATGTTCTTTTATTCTAAATTGTTGTGAATTTTTGAAAATAACTTTTAGCCCCCCTAAACTTTTCTAAATAGAACTAGGTCCCTAAATCTAAGGGTATAAATCAGGCAAAGTTTCAAACTAGACTCAAGTGACTTGGGAGGCTACAAAAGGTGATTATTCTATTATCTTATTTGAGCAATCTCAACTTTAAGAGAAAAATCTTTCAAAGTTACATTTATAAGATTTTTTGGACGGTTCCTATCTATTATTTTTGGTAAAAAAATTTTCAAGGAAGCATTTAGATTAAAAAAATTACTTTAAAAGATGTATTTTAGTTAATTGTTATTCCTTACATGAGAATTTGATTTTTTATTAATTTTTCAAAAAAAAATTATTTGATATATTAACATTAAAATTTTTAATTTCACAAATAAAATAAAAATGATAACATATGTCTTATTTTTTAAAATTTAATTTTTTATTTCTTAAATATATATTAAAAATATGTATCAATATTTTAATTTTATTTATGAAATTAAAATTTTCATTATCAATATTTTAAAATTTTCACTATCAATATATTTGATAATTTTTTAAAATACTATACAATTGTTTGAAAATGAAATAGAAGCGAAGAAAGTTGGAAAAATACTAGTTTTATCTCTTTTAGTGAATATGTAGAAAACTAATACATACCTCTTTTTAAAATTTGAAAAAAATTTTCAATAATCCAAAAAAAATATGGTCCAGTATGTAAACTAATTTGTAATTATTATTATTATGGGCTATGAACTTAATTTGCAAGTGGTACTGTGGTAGATGAAAATCTTTATTTAAATCATTACTAAATCACTAAATGCGCAATCTGCACCGAAATTAGCCTAATTGCATCAATTATCAATGGATTTTACGACAAAACGAAAACGAGTGGGCCAATTTCATAAATATAGAAACATGAAGATCAAAACTACAATTACCCACAAATATATTTTATTCATTTACAATTTTTTTATTAAAATAATTCCAACACTGCCACAGGGAGGTTCTTTTTCTTTTTCAGGAGCGGAGATAAAAAGAGCATCCAAAAAACGCAAGAGATTTTGAGGAAGACGATGGCCACCGCAAACTCGCTGCAAAAAGCAAGGAGCCAAGCTCGAGCAGTTCGAAAGGCGCTGAGCTCTTTCTCGAGAACCTTCTCTTGAGATGCATTGATGGCGGTCAAGCCAGGCGAGGTCGGCATGGTTTACGGAATCCCTGACGAACATATTCGTAGGAGTGTAAATTTCAAAATTTTATCAGTGTTGGGTTAATTTTGGCAATTTTTAATCCAACCCTTTTTCCTCTAATTTTCGAAAGAGACAATAGTTAGGCTGCGTGTTTATTTATTTATTTATTTTACATTCATCGTAGGTTGTAATATATTCGCCTGCAAGAACTGCAACACAACAAGGATCTGGGAAAGTTGGAAAGTGGAAGATCAATTTTATGTCAACACAAAAGTATGTCTTTTTATCGATCTAACTTTCCCGTCTTTTTTAGCTGTAGAAATTGAATTTTTTTTTTTTTTTGGGTGTAAATATGCCATTTCGCGCTTAGAATATGGACTCTTTTACGGGTGATGCTTATAAATGGTAGAAAATCAAAATGACAAAATTAAGCTATTCCTGATCTTCAATTATCTGTTTTTGATAACCGAATTTTTCCCATGTTTTTAATTGTTCCTCACATATCCTTGAAGATTCTGAAACTTCACTAACTTGTATCAATGTTCTGCTTCATGTTTGCTGGGTTGTGGTTTCATTGGTTAAAACTTGTTTTCTTGAACTTAGGCCACATTGCCAAATTCTTGGTATGATTCTGACTTAGAGTCTTTGTTTTGGTCTTGTCTGTGCAAGTAAATCTTAGATGTTTTTCTTGTAACCATGATTTACATAATCAATAATTTCTTGTCTATGAATAATATGGTGTAGGTGTGAGAACCCATTGATGCGTTGGACATCCACAGGGGACCCTTATGCCAATGTTGGTGATGCTGCACTTGGTTTTGATAGTGAAGAAGCTGCTAAGTCTTTTGCTGAGAAACATGGGTGGGAATATGTGGTATTATTCACTTTTTAATTTTGATTATTGGACTAAATTATTCCATTTCTTATTTGGCTTAAAGAAATGAGCTTTCATGATATTTGGTTACTTTTTAGTCTGAATGTTCCTTAGATTATCTTTTTCTTGTGTCAGACCAGAAATTTTACAATTAGTCGTTTGATTTCAGATATCTTTTCCCTGTTGTTAGATGGCATATTCACTTGATGATTTTGTAACGAAAATGTTTTTCTCCCTTAATCATCCAATCCAATCTCTATCCTTCTTGAGATGCAAATCGGTGGTACATCTTGAACTCACATACAGGTTAAAAAGCGCCAGGCACCAGTGCTTAAGGTTTGGGAGTCTTTCTTTTGCACTTTTGCGCTATTCTTATTACCTCACATGAGCCTTTATAGCAGAACATTTGGAATGAAAATCATGTTTACGAAATTTAAATCAGGTTAATTCTTATAGCTAGGCTTAAGAATAAAAATCAACTTGAGATTTCTAAAGACAGTTGCTCAAGACAAACTAATGCATCATTGGTTTTTACCTTTTCATGATTAGCAATATGGAATAATTGCCTGCACATTCTTGATCCTTGATTAGACATTTTCTTTGTTGTAGTAATTTCTATTGTTATCTTTGGAATGGTGATTTTATGAGTGATTGAGAGGGTTTTCTGATGGTCTGTGCTCGAAATTTTTGTTCTTAGTAGCCCTCTTGTTGCACTGAAATCTTCTAAAAGATGCTGTGAAGTTCTAACAGCTGACATTTGACAAGTTGAAATTACTTACATGAGAGAGAGTGAGATTGAAGTTACAATACTAGATAACAGCAGAATGAACAAGCTTTTAACTTCATAGAGACATCTAGGACAGGATTACTGCATATGACGATTGTATATGCTGCTATTGTGTCCAAAAAATTCCAGAAGAATGAACATTGCATGTGATATGTGCAAACATTACTGCAATGGTCAAGCTATTTCTCCACAATTATGTGTAATGTGCTCTAGCCTCTAGGCATAAGCAGACTGATTTAGATACTGCAAATCTATTGTTATGGTCCTATGCTTGGCTATGTCGTTTCCATGTTTTATGTTCATTACCAACTAAAGTTACAAACCCATGGCAGTTGTCTTCTTATGCGAATATGGTTGCAAGTCAAGTCATATGCAGATAACTTCAAGTGGAAGGGATCTGCCATATCTGAAGACTGATACTATAATCTTGCAGATCCTGTTGCCTTTTTCTACCATAATTCGAGTTGAGCAACTGAGGCTAAGTTCTTTTTGTGTTTGTTTGCACATTGTCATCTGTTGCATTATTTGATGTGAAATCCACCTTTGGGCTGTACAGTTCAAATTTATGCATTATTTTCTCTTTTAGCTTTAATAATTTAATTTCATTTTCATTTTCATTTTCATTTTTCTTCAAACACAAAAGGTTTGAAATTCCTCTTGCAAGTATACTTGATTGAGACATTTTCTTTTCAAGAAGAAAATTCCCCTTTTTACGTTGGACTATTTTTTTTTTTTTTAATGAAGTTATCAATGTAAAAAGAACCTGTTTGGATAAACTGATAAGATCTTTTAATTTTGTTTTCATATTTCTCATTCATGGCTTCACTATTTTTCTGTTTGATGGTATAATTATTTAACAATGCAGATTTGGATAAAATGCTTTCGAACCTGTTTGGCTTTGCTATTGAAGTATTTTTTTATCTCAACCGCAATTCCAAACAACAGACAACATCAGCGGTTGAAGAAGTTTCAAATTCGACAATTGGTCTGTGTAGGGTGGAATTCCCTTGTGAAACCTTCAGAATGAGCAAACTTCTTGAGATTCCCAAACCTAGACAAACCATCCATGTGAACTCTGTCACAAACAACTCTAGTTCCAGGCTTTAAACCAGGAGTATTTTCCACTTGCAACCCAGCAAGCCAGCCAGCCAGGACAACTGCAATGTCTTACTAAAATCCCCAACAACTGCAAAAATAGAAAGAACGATAGAAAATAATCAAAATTTAATTAAGACATTATTATGAGCAATCGAAAAAAAATCTGATAAACGAAAAAACCACAAATAACTGAAATGACAAGATATTTGAACTTTTGATATCTTATTCCTTTAATTTTATCAAAATTTGATTGGAATTATCGAATTTTAACCCTTTAGTTTCCGGGAAAACCCCTAAAACCAATAAGAGAAAGAAAAAGAAGGGAGAGGGGTACCCGAAGAGGGCTCGTCGGCAAAGGAAATGGTAGCAAAGTTGAATATGCGACGAAGATAAGGCAGGGAAGCAAACCGGAGCTCCGGACCCATTTCCGGGTACCCCTTGTCCTTCCGGAGTTGGCAGATTGAGGGAAAGGCACGGTTTTGAAAATACGAGTTTATGTGGAGGGCGTTTCTGCCATTTCAATGGATTTATATACCTTTGGGCTGGCGGAAGTAGATCCACCCAACTTCCAATGACGCTTGAAAGTTGGGCTTTGGCAGGGCCCATTCTGATCCCAAACACCCAATCTCCAAAAAAAAAAAAATCAAAGCGCCAAGCAATCCTCTATCCCTCCGTCGCGGCGGCCCGCGAGAGCTCTCTTGCTTCTACCTACCGATTGCTTCAACCGTTGCGCTTCAATCGTCAGCGCCCCCACAACAACCACTACCGCCACTGCCCCTCGTATATGTAGCTGTTCGGGTACTTTTAACACTCCCTCTTTCAAGTTTTGTCCTTTTAAACATTTTTCTCCCTTTTTTTGGTGATTTTCTTATTGTATTTGGTTTATATCAATTTAAGTGATTTTAACTTAGTCAGTTGAATAGGAAATACGGGAAAAAGAAATTAAAATTTGGAACTTTATTGAAATAGTTTGATATATGAATTTATCTTTTATATGAGTATGTATGGTTTAATAGTAATTGAATGAAATCTTTAATTTTCTTATAATAAATGGTATGTAAGTGAGAAAGATCTGCTAAATGTCATGTATTTATCTTTGGCGTGTTTCTTTAATTGATTTTGACGG